TTCAACTTGCTTCTGCAGATCACGTTTTTCTTTTAGAGCTGATGCGAGTTTTTCCTTCATTGACTCGAGCTCAGATTTCATGCTTGTTGAACTCTTTTCAATTTCAGTCCTTGTGCTCTCTGAGTCTTCAACTTGCTTCTGCAGTTTTTGCAATTGTAGCTGTAACTCCGTCAACTCGTTTTTCAACGTATTTTTCTCATTCTCACTCTCCAAAAGATTCTTTTGCGATGCTTCCAATCGATTTTTGAGTGACGAAAGTTGCGCTTCATTTTGAGTGCTTTCAGTATCGTACGTATGAAGTTTGTTTTGCAAAGATTCAATTTCATGCTTCTTCTGATCCATTTCAACTGTTCGTTGTTCGGTCAATGATTCCATTTCGCTTCTCAAGCTTGCCAACGTTGATTCCACCTCTTGACTGTGCTGTTCCACACTGCTCATTTTTTCTGTGAGTGCCTTCTGTTGCACGGTAGCATCAGCCATTTTACCTTCGAGCGAACGTTTTGCGGCCTCACATTTCGATAGCTGCTTCTTGGTGTTCTCTAACTGCTTACGCAATGTAGAAACTAAAGTGTCACTGGATGATTTCTGACTCTTAGAATCTTCAAGACTGGTCTTCAGTTGTATCATCTCCTCTTTGATTTTTGATCTTGTCGCATAATCTCGTTTCAGTTGTTCCTCATTAGATTTAATTTTCTTCCTCATATTGCTCAACTCGGAATTCAGCGCATCTTTTTCTGCAGCAGCCGTCTCTGCTCTTTCCGACGCAGCCTTCAATTTTGCGTTCAAATCGACGATTTCTTGTCGAAGACGATTGCGATCCTCGGTTTCTTTGGCAAGACTGGTCTTCAGTTGGATCATCTCCTCTTTGGTTTTTGATATATCTTCTTTGCTTTCAAGCGGCTCCTTTGAAATATCTGGCGTTCTTTCCAAAACGCACAGTTCTTTGTTTTTGTGTGGATCCCCGCTCTGAGAATGGATGAATTCAAAGTTCAACTTCACCAGACTATCGTTGAGCTGGAAAAGTTCAGATTTCAATTGAGCTGCATGACCGAGTGCTTGATCTCTCTCGCTAACAGCGATATGAAGTTGCCTCTGCAGCAGTTCTAAATCATCTTGTTCTTTCTTCTGGCTGTGGGAAGGGCTATCTGTTGCGATGCTATGCATCTGTTTGCCAATATCTAACGGTTCAGCAGTCATGTCAGAAGTTTTCTTTAAGACAGACAATTCTTTATTTCTAGATGGATCACCACGTTGAGAATCCCTGAGTTCAAATTGTAATTTCATCATACTCTCTTTGAGCTGAGCAACCTCGAATTGTAGCTGACTGGCACGAGTTTGCGCACGGTCCTTCTCTTTTATGGCCATACGAAGCTGTTTTTCCAGTGGTTCCGATTCATCACGCTTCTGTTGTTGACTGTGAAGAGAGTTTTCTTCTATGCTGTGGAGTGTTTCATCAAGTATTGCAGACTGTTTCTGCAATGAACGTTTCTCAGTTTCAAGATGAGTGACATTTTTTTGTGCTTCTTCGAGTTGTTTTCGAACCGAATTTAGCTCGGCGAGAGCGTCGTTTCGTTGATGATCGATACTGTCGAGTTTTTTGTTCAGTTCGATCATTTCCTCTTTCTTTGAATTAACCATTTGTCGGATTCGACTCTCAGCAACTTCAATTTCATGTCTCAGATTCTCTGAAATTGATTGCGCTTCGTTTCGTTGTTGCTCAGTGAAAAGTAACTTCTGTTGTAAGGCATCACGTTCTGAGACAGCGCTGCGAAGTTGATTCTGCAGCGACGAATTTTCGGCCTTTAGATCAGATAATGCTTCAATAGGTTTTTCGGCACTACTTGACGGTTGTTGAGGCGTCAAAATGTGTTCAGTATGTACAGATTTTGCCTCTGGAGTTCTTTGACTAGTCACTTTCGCAGATGCGCTGTCGTGCTGAACAGTGCCCTCTTCGTCCATCTCAGTTGATCTCACTAGCGCCAAAAGCTCGTCATATTCGAAAGGACCACAACCTGTCGAGCCGATTTGCTCAGACGGGACGCCACTGAGATCAGGCATCGCAGGTTTTGATGGAAGCGCCTGAACGTCACGAACGGCATCAGTCTTAACAACAGTTGCTTCCATGTCCTTAGACCTCATTCCTGAGTTTTGTACACCACGGCTGTATTCTAGAGCAGTTTCATTCTGTTTACGGAGGTTTTCATTGGTAACGCGAAGCGTTCGCAAGTCTTCATCAAGCTTTGCGAGTTTGGCTGATAAGTCCTGTTTCTCCGATTCGACTTGTTCATATTTTGATCGTTCACTCTTTAGCTCATCTTTAAGCGAAGCTATTTCAGCGCCTAATTGTCTCAATTCACGATAACGATCGCGCATTCCGGCTGCAGATTTACCGAGTTCTTCGGTGAGTGCTGAATTTTGCTTTATCAATTCTTGTTCTGCCCTTAAATGTTCACTTTCACTTTCTTCAAGCTGCGCTTTCAACGAGTTCACTTCTCCTTGCAATTGTAGTCGTTGTTTTTCAAAATCAGCAATTTTTTGCAGATGAACGCGTTTCTCTTCAAGTAATTTGCTCATTTCTTGATCACTCGCTCGTTTTCGGTTTTCACTCTCTGCGATTATCTCCTTCAACGACAGCAGCTCATGATTCAGCTGAGCACCTTCTGCGCTTAGACGAGCTATCTCACCGCTGCGTTCTTGTTTGGCACGATGCGTGGATTGTTCCAGTTCACTGATGTGCTTCTTCAACTGCAAATAATCATTGATATGCATGCAAAACATTCTTCAAAGCAAACCAAAGCATCAACTTTTTTCTGCATAATCTCACCCGATTTACAGGGATTGGATTATTAATAACGTTGAGCGGTACCACGCACAAAAATGAAATCACAATCTTGCAGACAGTCAGAAATTATCTCATATGTGAACCCGACTTCTGATGAAAAATTGAAGTCTTAATGATAGAGCAGAACCGATGTTTCGATGCTAGATTTGCTTCATCTCATGTAGCTATCAATGGATAATGAACGAAGTATTATGCAGAACTGTTCAAGGAGGATAAACGAATTCACCAAAACCGCTCAAGTGCAACCGACTTATCAAATACTCTTCTGCCCACACAACCCCATTCGGTACAAACAGTTCCTATGATTTGTTTAGACGGATTATCTGAATGAAACTAAAATATGTATGCACCACATTCAAGCCAAAACCAAACATTTGCGTGTGTTCATTAGTTATCATGCGCAAACAAGAAATGCCGTGAATCATGCATGATCAGCGCCCTATTGAGTAGGGCAGCGGTGCAAAAAAAGGATTAGTTCAAACCATGCAAAATCAAAGCAATCATTTGAAAGCATTCGACCAATGTTGAGATGCCCCATCATTCCATCGATGGTTAATTGCGACCAGTCATTGCTTTAACATTGATGATTGTCATCTAATATCCAGATTCAAAACAATGAGTAATTAAGCAGTGAAAATACCTAATATAATTGAAAACTGACCTCGTCATTTTCTTGTTTATGACTTTCGCTAAGTTCATTGTACCTATGCTGTAGTTCCCCTATCCGTGAGTCGCTCTCTTTTCGTAGCTCGAGGATAGCTTTCTGATGCCTCAATTCCACCTCACTTTTCCTTTGTGCGTATTCTATTTCCTAAAATTTTGCCCCACTATCATTAAAATAACGTCTAGAAGCAGTATTATTACAGTCACTGGTAACGAATAAGGTGATGAATAATTCGAAATGATAAGAAGCTAACCTGATAGAGTCATGAGCAGTTTGTAATGAAGTTGCCAGGGTAACGACCTCATCTTCAAGGCTTGCTTTTGCTGACAGTTTTTCATTCTCGACACGCATTTGCTCAACTGTAAGCTTAGCCGTCGAGAGTTCAGCTCGAGCTACTTCAAGGTCTTTTTGCAGCGCAAACAGCTTACTTTCTGCTTCACGACTGAAATATAAACAAACTGTGATCAACTGATCACATCCCATCTTGATAATATCAAAACGTACTCAGGTATTCGACCATATCATTTTCAGTCATTCTAGGTATTTTTGAAAATTTCAGCTACAGACTCAGCATCTTTGCATTTCAACGCATGAATTCTTGAAGTTGGAGGAAAACTCGAAAATATTTCCATGACATCCTGTTTCCTCCCGGTTCAATCTCGAAATCTCAAAATCAGCTCGAGCACTGAATATCGAACCTCGTCTCTTCCAGATCTTTATTTGCACTTTCAAGGGATGCAATTTTCTTCGACGTTTCCTCTTCCAAATTCTCCATGCTGGACATCTTCTCTTGCAATGAACGAACTTCTTCTTCGAGCTCTTCGATGGTTTCTCGATTCGAGCGATCTGCCTCCTAAAAAGTAACATCCTAGATAAGGATGTAATGTTGCAATCAAGATCGCTCCTTGAAACCTCGAAATCATAAATTTACTTTATCGCACTGAAAGTATCAAACTGACTGCAAGACAAGTAAGTAGTATTTTGAAATAATCGAATGATTATCGAATAATTAAATACTCACATCTGCATCATTTTCAGCCTTCTCAACTGCGGCCATCAAAGTGGCATTCCGTTCGCCGGCCAGCTTCAGCTCATTGCGCAAGGTTTTTACCTGCAAACGACGCACACTTCATAGCGATTGGTCATTTGAGACTCGATTCAACTTGAAATCTCATTGAATATCTCGTCAAAAATGTGAAGACGTCAACGAACTTCTGCGTGATCAGATATTCATTCGCAGATCAACAATCGAACAATGATGCCATACGCACGGCTCAAGACTGATCTTCAGTAGCGGTAATTTCTCAATGTTAATTAGCAACGATACTTTGAATTCACAGGACGACAAACCTGTTCGTCGACGCCATGTTGTGCATCAAGCTGGTCTCGTAGGCTTTTAATCTCGTTCTCGAGACTTTCCACTTTCAAATTGCTCATCTTCGTTTGCAGCTGAGCTTCGGCTATCTTTACTTCTTGCTCTTTATTTTGCACTAATGATTTCTGAAATCACATGTGGGTAATAGTTCAAAGAACTGTAATACAGCAGATCTGATGAAAAAGTGATCAAGGAAATTTGCACGAGGAAAACCGAAAATCCAATGATTCAATGCATATAATTTCTCCAGCGTCTGAATTTCAAGAGCTTACCTTCGCATCTTCTTGAGCTGATTTCAACTCTGCTTCCAGCTTCTTAATTTGTTCCTCAGCTTTTCGTTG